GGGGGGCCTCTCAAAGTCGAGAGACGGCACTGCGTGACCTGCTGGTGTTTTGCTAATATTTGTATATGACTAAATAGTATTGTGAGCTTTCAACTTGTTATTTAAAACCTTTTTGGGGCTTTACTACAAAGTTAATAATAAATTTTTTAGGTTCAAAAAAAGTTTTCCATCACAAAAAAGCACTCCTAAGACAATTTTATGTGTTGAACGCAAATGATAAAAATACTTATAATAATGAACTTACATGTAATAATAACTTTTGCTAAATATTTCCAAGATTTACCAGAGTCAAATAGAAAAAAAAAATTATGTAGAAAGGTCTATATTTTTTTATGAGTTGTCAAACCTGATCATTCTTATCAATCGTATATGAACGGCATTATTCTGTGAAGAAGACAAGAGTTGTTTACAAAATAAAAACTACATTTCCCACTATTCAGATGAATTACAAATGGTCACTTAGATATACTTTAAAACATTTGATTTCTGAATCCACAGAATTTATTTTAAATTTACAAATTAGAAATAAGATTTTTTTTTTAACAAATACCAACAAAAACGGAATGAGCATGGAATAGAAAAATACAGTTGAACCTATCATAACGAGTTTAATTCGTTCCAGACTCTTACTCGTTAAGCGAAACACTCGTTAAACGAAACAATTTTCCCCATACAAATCAATGTAAAATACGATAATGCGTTCCATGTTGAAAAAATAGTATTTTTTTTAAAAATGTATTAACATTTATTCAAATAAAATTACTTATGAATTGTTAAGGAGTGTAACAACTTGGAATACAATTTAGATTTGAAACAAAAAACGTAAATAAAAATATGAATTTATGACAAATAATTAATCCTTTTTAACTAGAAAACTGTCTAAAAGACATTTGTTTTTTGCCGACATTTTAAAATTATACGAAAATTTTCACAGCATTATTATTGAATAAATGTATAGCACGAATAGCCACGCTCAGACCTTGTTCTGGCTTTTCAATGATTTTACGTTTCATTTCAACAGTTATTTGTTCTCTTTTTTGATTGTCTTCTTGTGTTTTTTTTCTTTTTTTCGAAGACATTTTAGCATAGGTTATTACACTTTGCACATAAAAAAATTATGAATACTGTCTGAATGCAAAATTTTTAAAACTAGTGATCACACACGAAAACATAACAGACTGAGTGCTAAACACAGACTAGTGCAATGGTTCTCAACCTTCCTAGTGCCGCGACCCTTTAATACAGTTTCTCGTGTCTTTGCGACCCCCCCCCCCCCCCCACCAACCTAAGTATTTTCGTTGCTACTTCATAGCTGTAAGAAAATATGTTTTCAGATAGTCTAAGGCGACCCCTGCGAAGGGCCGCGCTACCCCCAAAGGGGTCACGACCCACAGATTGAGAACCGCTGGACTAATGCATCTGCTCGGACGCCCCGACTCACAAATGAATGTCAGGAAAAAAGGACTTCCCCTTTCTGCGAAACTTGTTATGCGAAATATCGCTCGTTAAGGGAGCAACTTCTTCACATTTTTTTTGCTCGTTATGCGAATTACTCGTTATGAGAGGTGCTCGTTATGAGAGATTCCACTGTATTCTTTTTTTATCGTTCTGATAGATTCTCATCTAGAAAATATATATATTATTTTTAATTTTAAAAAATCCGTGGAACTAAATTAGACAATTTGTTTATTATTCTGATATTAAACAGATAAAAGCAGTTGGGAATTTTTAAATGAAGGCTCATTTTTTTTAAAAACCTCTATTATTCAGGAAACTTTGTTACAAACGTAGCACATTAAAAGAAAACACCATCGCTTCTGATACACTACTTGAAAAAATGTGTACTATTTGTATGCGATTGTTAAATTCTTACCTAAAAAAAAAAATCTCTCAAATTTTGTAAGTTTTCATTTTATATAACTCAACATTCATGGAATCTGGTAAATTTATAATATTGCTAATAAAAATATTTAAAATATTTTTGAAAGCCTAATACCATCAATCAATTTATAATTAACATAGCACCTAACCATACTTTAAAAGTCATGCTTTTATAAAATTTGAAAATAGATTACGATTTTTTTATACTTAGCAAGAACTAATATTAGAACTGTATACCTTGATATTAATGTAAATGTATTTAAATACAGTGTTATTAAAGTCTTTAAAGTTGTGAAGCTCAAAAAAAAAAATAATAAGTGAATAATATACCGAAAAGTGTGGACAACGTGAAGTAAGACTGTGGCTTATAATCAGAACGGTTAATCGAAAATTGTAACCCTTTAAATATGCGGATCATCAAATATATCGAACGTAGCTTTTATTTATAGATTTCACTAATTGCAATCGGTTAGAGGCCCCAGATATTATTCTTTTTAAAACTGTTTTTAAAAAAAGTGTCAATTTAGTGTTTTTAATAAGAAAAATAATGTAATTGTCATATATTGTTCTCATTTCGCTCCGGTGGGCATTGACTCCCCCCCCCCCCTGAGAGATGCCTGAAAGACACCCTGCACGGGTATATATATATATCAAAAGTTTAAAAAGTCTGTTAGTGGGTAATGCACAACTATAATTGTAAAATCGTAGCAATCTAACACAGTTTCAAAGAATCTCCATTAAAATGGCCGCTGTTGTGTACGAGTGAGGGGAACCAAAGCCTGCCAGCTTGATCACTTTCAAAATAGGGTGTGTCAAAAACGCCTTTTCTACGACAAAAAAATGAAATTCCTTCTCCCTACAATAGCATCTTCCTTCCTATCAATAATTTATAAATATTGCCTGCTCTTGCCTTCTGTTCGAACACATTTTAGTTTTAAAATTGCTAGTAGGAATCACCATATTTTTACTTTTATTTTATGATTTTTCGTTTTTGTTTACCAGAAACTCATTATTTTCAAAGCATTTATTTAGCTGAATATTTTTACTTTAGATCCCCATGGAATTTCAATTTCTTACTAATGAAATAATGCCGTTAACAAGGATACGCAATGTGGCGGCAGGGTCTATTTGCGGAGTTCAGGGATGACGCGATACTCAATATTAGAGTTTTAATGTCTTGTTAGCCTCATTTTTGGAACAAACTAGCATAAGTATGTGCAGTTATTTGTTATTGTTTTAGCTAAAATTAATGTAGATTTATTTGATATAACTAAAACTGTAGAAAACTGCTTTTTGATTCAATCTCGGCCAAAAGGTCATTGTTACCAGCCGTCTTTTTTTTTCAACAGTAGCGCAAAACTAACTTAAGTGAAATACGACTGAAAACTTCCTGTAGGGTCATATATTATATTCTTATTTTAAATTATTGAGAAATGTATATTTCATATGTCAGAAATTACGTCACGATTCGTCTGATTTCAGGGAAGTGAATGGCAAAACAGACAAGCATGCACAATGTATGAGAGCATTGCCCTTCACCTTCACGGAGATTTCCAGGTTGTTTAAGCGGACGGTGTGCCTTTTTGGGAGTACCTATCTGTGTCAAAATCTCTTCTCCACTATGAACGTTAACAAGTAAAAGTTCAGGGGCCATACCTACCAATGAGCATCTGTAAGCTCTACTAAGGGTCTCAGTTGCTTCCTCGCTCAAGCCATGTTTTGCTCAGCTGTGTAAGAAGAAGCGCTGCCAGGCTACTTGCAACAAACTGTTGGAGGGAGTAAGTGAAACCTAGTTTATGAGTAAAGGTTGAGCAGATTGTAACTGTTTTACTTTATTGAATTTGTAATATTTTTTTTTTTTGTGTGCAATAATTGATGCGGTTCCGTCTCACTCATACTCTATACCTCCTGTCACCCCTGGATAATTTAAGTTTTGAGACCCCTCAATTTTATTCTATCCATGTTTACTTATCCAAAAAATGACAACTTTTTAATGGGGGGTATAATATGCACCACCCCACTTACTCTTTCCTGCTTCGAGGTCTTGCCCCATAAGTTTGACTGAATGAGAGTGTGTTTAAAATTATTTAAAATGATATATTTCTATGGAGTTCTTTTGGGTCTCTCTCTCTCTCTTCTCTCTTATCTATCTCTATCGCTATCTATCGATCTCTCTGACACACGTACTGTGAGCCCTGATATGAACTATGGCTTAACAAATTTAATGAGTTTACTAAGCATTGCTAAGCATTACCATTTTATTTCCATAGTTAAAATTGGATCCTATCTTTGACAATATGGAAACTTAACACTTTTTCAAAAAATCTATTTTAAAAAAAATACAGTAGCGTATCTTATTTAGTACAATGTTACAATATAAATTTTCGAAAGATTCACGCTAAGTGTGTTAGATTGGCACGGGCTTTTGGATGTTATTGGCACATGGGTAGGTCGTGTCTTAATGCATTGTGTGATTTTTCAAACATGCTTCTATTCCCTTAACAGCATGGCATTTAGTGAAAGAGAGAGTTAGAGGCAGAGAAAGAGAGCTACGGAGAGAGCTAAAGGCAGAGAGAGAGCGAGAGAGAGTTAGGGACAGAGAGAGGGGGAAAGTTAGAGACAGAGAAAGAGAGAGTTAGGACAGAAAGAAAGAGAGAGTTAGAGACAGAGAGAGCTAGGGACAGAGAGAGAGAGTTAAAGACAGAGAGCTAGAGACAAAAAGAGAGAGTTAGAGACAGAGTTAGAGACAGAGAGAGAGAGTGCTAGAGAGAGATCTAGAGACAGAGATAGAGACAGAGAGAAAGAGAGAGAGAGAGAGTTAGAGACAGAAAGAGAGAAAGAGATATAGAGAAAGAGAGAGAGTTGAAGAGAGAGAGACAGAGACACGGGAGGGCGGAAAATACCATAGCAAATTAAAATAAAGATGGAATGAGTAAATAAATAAGAGGATAATCTTTTAACAAGTTACTCCATTTCTATTATCATATTATGTAAGCCTTTTTTGATCAAGACATATCAAAAGAAATCACGAAATATACACCAAAAGTTGTTGTTGTTTTTTTATTATTTATGTTAAGTAAAAATTCAGAGCCATAAGAAAATAAGAAACATGGAGTGATAAAGAATTATAAATAAAGAAAATTCAAAAGTTTAATCCCTCTTCTCATTTTTTAATCTGTATCTTAAAGCACAAGAAAAAAAATAATTTGGCAAACTAAAACAAACATAACGTGATTGGGCAGTTAATTGAATAATGATTGAACAAGACTCGTTTCTGACATGACCAAAGGTCAAATCTTCATTGCAAAGATAACAAGTTCATTTGTATCACAGATTTTAACTTTAAAAAAAAAAGAATTCCAAGAATAATCACGAAGAAATAAATCAATAAATTATCTGGAATGTTTATGATTTGAAACACTTCTCCTGACATTGGTCAAACAAACAATATTTGGAATTTATTTATTTCGTATTCACTACTTTAAATCACAGCAAATTCAACGTGAAATTGTATTTCGGTAATGACTTTAAAGCTAGAGCAAAAAAATTTAATTAATGTAAATGTAAAGGCATGGTACTTAAGGCTCAACCTTTCCAACTGATATTGAATTTATATCTGGTGAAAAATGAAAGCATAGTTTAAAATAAATTAGCTGAAATATCGGGGCTTTAGAAATGTCTTTCTTTGAACCATAGGACAACTCAAACGGTTCAATAAAGTTTCATCAGTTGCGAGAAGACGGCAACAACCAACAGTAGCAACAGGCTCGTGCTTACAACTGCAGCGCCATCTAGGAATTGGAAAAAATAGTATGTAGTTATTAACATTAGTATGTTTTATCAAATTATTTTGAAGGAAAATGTATATATATATTAATCTAGCCTATAATTATTTGTAATAAACAAAATACGTTTAGATTTGTTCTTACTTTTGCACGTGTCTTCTTTCGCAACATAGTTTGCTGCACATGCGCAACGCTTTGGATCAGTCAGGTCACATTTCCCCGAGAACACTGTGCCAGTGCAGTCCGTGTCAGCAGTGCACACCTTTCCTGGCGCTTAAATTAAATAAAATAAACAGTCTGATATTTGAATGTTTATGTGTAAACTTTCTAAGTAATAAGGATAGGTTCGATTTAATTTAAATCTGGTGTACATTTTTAAGCCTCTGATAAGCCTTAAACAGTCGATTCATTTGAAATGAAATGTGATTAAATATTTAAAAAAATATATAATTAAAAATATATATATACATATATATATATATATATATATATATATATATATATATATATATATATATATTCATGCATACATTTTTGTGGTAACATTAAAAAACGTCTATTTAAAACACAACAAAATAAAAAATAGCATATGGAAAAACAAATTTGAACGTAAAAACTAATTTGCATTGAATTTAACTTAATGTTATAAATATTTCATTGAGATATTCTAATAATAGTTGAACATCAATTTAAAGACGTCATTATCTTTCAAATGGGTAAATAGATGCAAGGATCGGTAAAATTTAAGAGACAGATCATGCATCAGACTTGTGTAGGTTCTCCCCCCCCCCCCAACCCCGCCATTCCCAACCCTGCCAATTATTATCATTTATCTAAAACAAATTGTAATGTACAGTTGTAAAATTGCATACTAAAAGAAAAACATCTAAATGTAATTTGAAGTGTATTGTAAAGAGCGATTTCTGATATCGCCACTGATGCTTGGCTAATGTTTGTGATTTAAGGAGTACAACTAGATCATTGCTTTACAAACTGGGCCACCTGTGTGTCGCCTGCAAGTTGAAGTTGTTTTGAGAGGTAATAAGCTATACTTTCATTTATGCATTTTTGGTCATAAAATTATTTCAATGTTTTGCTTTCTTTTGTAATCTTTTCCCTTGTTTCCGTTTGAAATATCTTAAATTTTCATTAGCATTGGTTCCCTAGCTCCTCTATAGGTCTGGCAGCCTCGGTTCTCTAGCTTCTTTATAAGGTCTGACAGCACCGGTTCCCTAGCTTCTTTATAAGGTCTGAAAGCATTGGTTCCCTAGTTCTCTATAGGGCTGACAGCATCGATTCCCTAGCTTCTCTTTAAGGACTGACAGCATCGGTTCCCTAGCTTCTCTGTAAGGGCTGACACTTAGCATAAGATCCCTAGCATCACTAGGAGGGCTCACAATTAGCATCAGTTTCTTAGCTTCTTAATAAGAGCTGACATGATCAGTTCCCTAGCTGCTCTATAAGGGCTGACAGCATCGGTTCACTAGCTACTCTGTAAGGGCTGACTTAGAATCAGTTCCCCAGCTTTTCTGTTAGGGCTGACACTTAGAATCAGTTCCCTAGATTCTTTGTAACTACTGGCCCTTATAATCAGTTCACTAGCTTCTCTATAAGGGCTGACACTTAGCATCACCCAAGATTTTCTATAGGGACTGACATTTAGCATCAGTTCCCAAACTTCTCTAGGAAGGCTGACACTTAAAATGTGTTCCCTAGCTTCTCTATAAGGGCTAACACTTAACATTAGTTCCCTAGCTTCTTTAAAATGGCTGACAATTAGCATCATCTCCCTAGCTTCTCTATAAGGGCTGACTACATCGGTTCCCTAGCTTCACTATAGGGACTGGCAGCATCGGTTCCCTAGCTTCTCTATAAGGGCTGACAGCATTGGTTCCCTAGCTACTCTTTGAGGCCGGACACATAGAATCTCTTCCCTAGCTTATCTGTAAGGGCTGACTTGAAATCAGTTCCCTAGCTACTCTGTACGAGCTGACACTTTAGCATAAGTTCCCTAGCTTCTCTGTAGGGGCTGAAACTAAGAATCAGTTCCATAACTTCTCTGTAAGGGATGACACTTAGAATCAGTTCCCTAGCTTCTCTGCAATGGCTGACACGTAGAATTACTTCCCTAGCTTTCTGTAAGGGCTGACACTTAGAATTAGTTTCCTAGCTTCTCTGTAAAGACTGATATTTAGCATCAGTTCCCTAGCTTCTCTGTAAAGACTGATATTTAGCATCAGTTCCCTAGCTTCTCTGTAAAGACTGATATTTAGCATCAGTTCCCTAGCTTCTCTGTAAAGACTGATATTTAGCCTCCATTCCCTAGCTTCTCTGTAAAGACTGATATTTAGCCTCCGTTCCCTAGCTTCTCTGTAAAGACTGATATTTAGCATCAGTTCCCTAGCTTCTCTGTAAAGACTGATATTTAGCATCAGTTCCCTAGCTTCTCTGTAAAGACTGATATTTAGCCTCCATTCCCTAGCTTCTCTGTAAAGACTGATATTTAGCCTCCGTTCCCTAGCTTCTCTGTAAAGACTGATATTTAGCATCAGTTCCCTAGCTTCTTTTCTAAAGGCTGACACTTAGAATCAGTTCCCTAGCTTCGTTAAGAGAGTAGAGCGTGATTATTTTGAGTCCCTATCATTGCTGATGCAAAGATTTTGATAATCTTTATATTGTTTAATTATGTGTGAAAAATTAAACTCCTATTTAAAACATCCGCATTGTATTAGCCAATTGCAGTTACATTACGTTTATAATGGATAAGTTGCTAATTGAGCAGTTACATTACGTTTATAATGGATAAGTTGCTAATTGAGCAGTTACATTACGTTTATAATGGATAAGTTGCTAATTGAGCAGTTACATTACGTTTATAATGGATAAGTTGCTAATTGAGCAGTTACATTACGTTTATAATGGATAAGTTGCTAATTGAGCAGTTACATTACGTTTATAATGGATAAGTTGCTAATTGAGCAGTTACATTACGTTTATAATGGATAAGTTGCTAATTGAGCAGTTACATTACGTTTATAATGGATAAGTTGCTAATTGAGCAGTTACATTACGTTTATAATGGATAAGTTGCTAATTGAGCAGTTACATTACGTTTATAATGGATAAGTTGCTAATTGAGGACAGAAAATATGGTGAAAATAGCATCAACCTTTAGCAACACTATAACAAACTACCTCAGCCTCAACTGTTGGAAGCTCTATTAATGTAGAAAACAACTCTAAAAAATGTATCCGAGCCTATTTAATACAGTTAAGATTATTTTAAAATGTGGTTCATATTTCTGGAAGTGAAAACAGTCATTATCACAACTGTTATTCGTTTTGAAATATAAGAGTTTGTACTATAGCAAACAAATTTATTTAAAACCTCTAAAAGTATACATTTTTATGAGATATGTGTCATGTTACTAAAATAACCCATCTTAAAACACATACGGACACAAACATTAAGTTTTATAACAAAACGATCACAAATGTTTGTGTCCGTATGTGTTTTAAGATGGGTTATTTTAGTACCCAGATTACTGCTAAAACTGACTTACTGTGTCCTGAAATGATAAATGTCTATAGTGGGTCACAAAGATGAAAAGTTGGCAAATCAATGCACTGGATAGTCTTGTAATAAGTGTCACATAATGTCGGATTATTTTAATTTTCGTATTGCTTCCCCCGCTATTTGCCATTTACCTCTTTCAACTACATTTTTTTTCCAAAGTATTACATCACATTCCGACATCTTATTTGTATAATAACTCACTTTTATTTTACTTGCAAGATTCAATTTTTTTTTTCAAGAATCGGCCAGTGTATCATGAAAACATTTTATCGGATGTGTGTATTTTACAATCCATTTTCTAACTTATTATTAGAGGCCGACCGAATTTCGGCTTCGGCTTCGGTTTCGGCGCCGAAAGTGTCCATTTTATCACTTTCGGCCAAGTATCGGTTTCGGCCGAAACTGAAAAGTTAACTTTCGGCTTAATTTCGGTTTCGGCCGAAACTGAAAATTTAACTTTCGGTTTGTCTTCGGTTTCGCCCGAAATTGACTTAGACTTTCGGCCATCCGGCCGAAAGTGACTCAGGTTTTCGGTCAATTAAAACTCAGCAAAAGCTATATTTAACTACAAACTAAGCGACATTTAAGAACAAATTAAGCCTTCTTTGTGAACAAACTAAACAATATTTAACAAATAACTAAATGACATTTATGAACAAACTAAACGATCTTTAAAACAAACTAAGTGATCTTTAAAAGCTATCTAAACAATCTTTAATAACCAACTAAACGATCTACAAACTAAACTATTTTTAAGACCGAACTAAATAATCTTTAAGAACAAAACAAATGATCTTTAATAGTAAACTAAATGATTTATAAGAATAAAATAAGCGATATTTAACAGAAAACTAAATTTTCTTCAGGAACAAACTAAAAGATCTTTAACAACAAACTAAACGATCTTTGACAACAAACTAAGCGATCTTTAAGAACAAACTAAACGATCTTTAACAATAAACTAAGCGATCTTTAACAACAAACTAAACAATCTTTAACAACAAACTAAACGTTCTTTAACAACAAACTAGACGATCTTTGACAACAAACTAAGCGATCTTTAAGAACAAACTAAACGATCTTTAACAACAAACTAAGCGATCTTTAACAACAAACTAAGCGATCTTTCAGAACAAATTAAGCGATCTTTAAGATTAAACTTTGCGATATTTTAGAACAAACTAAGCGATCTGTATGAACAAACACACAGATCTTTAAGAACAAACTAACCGATCCATAACAACCAACTAAACGATCTTTAAAAACAAATTAAGCGATCTTTTAGAACCACAATTTTTAGAGACCCGGTTTAAAAAAATTATATTTAGCATTAATTTCCCCCCCCACCCCCCACCCCCCAATTTTTGCCAAATATTCTCCTGCCATACTAATTTAAAAATAAATTGTAAAGCAATTTAAATTACTTTTATATTAAAATGGTAAAATCCAAAGTATTCATTAGATCAAGGGTCTCAAACTCAAATCATCAAAAGGGGGAAGGGGGGAGCGCAGGAGATAGTGTCTGAATGAGACTGGGCCGCATCAAGTAATCCACAAAAAAGCGATTACAACTGTTACAATCTGCTCAACCTTTATACATAACAATAAAATCATTAAGGGTTCTCAAGAACTAGGATTCACTTTCATCCACCTACTCACTGTTGCATTCAAAAATATATAGAAGCATTAAAAAAAAATAATCAGAATTAGACTAGTCGTTAGATTCGACTGAAACCGTCGCGGAGAGTCACGTTATAGATATGAGAATGGGTGAAACGGCCGACGCATTTACACTAAACTTTTCTGTCATGTAACGGGCCGCAAAATATCGTCTTGCGGGTCGCAAATGGCTCGTGGGCCGCGAGTTTGAGAACCCTATATTAGATGTTTATTTATTAATATTCACGATTATCTCATTTTTTTATAAAAAGAATGTAAATATTTATACTTTCCCACATCATTTTCGATGTATGCAGAGTGTATGTGGGAACGAATTTCAAAATATCTTAACATTTCATTTTCGGTTTCGGCTTCGGTTTCGGCGTCGGCTGAAATTCATTTTTAACTTTCGGCCTTTTTTCGGTTTCGGCCGAAAGTCATTTTTAAACTTTCGGTATTTTTTTCGGTTTCGGCCGAAAGTCATTTTAAACTTTCGGCCTATTTTCGGCTTCGGCCGAAATCAGAAAATCACTTTCGGTCGTTCTCTACTTATTATACGGCAAAATCATTTTGAAGAAGGTTTCAAACTCACCCACAACAGCCACGGAGACCTCAGCACTAGAAGCTTTGTTTCCACCAATAGAAATCTCACACTTGTAGTTAGTAGCGGCGGTTTGTGTCGTTTCTTTGATGGTGTAAGTACTGGACGTGGCTCCCGTGACTTCTGTGGTACCCCTAAAATTATTCAGTAACAGGATTAAAATATGTAGACCTAAAGAGTAAAATTAACAATTGATATCTAATTTATGTGAATAATGATGTAATGAAGCCCACAATGATGAATTATTTTTTTTTACAAAGTATTGATTTTTCAAAAGCTAAATTAATATTAGTTAATATGTGTATGTAACATATATTTCACGACAGCTTCCACCCGTGGTATTGTACCAACATATATTTCACGACAGCTTCAACCCTGGTATTGTACCGCACACGAAATTATTCATACCAGCAACGTATATTTTATTTTCTATCTGTTTTTATTATTTGACCTTCTGGTCCCTCTTGTTCAAGTTTGACATACAGACATTTAAAACACAACTTACGAGAAATAGTAAAAGATTCTTTATTTTATAATGTTTTTATAGTTAAAACTAATATTTAATAAATAAATGAAATTATTATAGATTTATTTGAATCAAACAATATTTAATTCATCGTATTAAGTTAGCAACTAATTATATTACTTTATAATGTTAACTGAAATCGATCTGTTTGAACAACTCCTCGATATAAGCTCGTTATTTGAATAGCGTTGTATGTTAGCTCGGGGACGTATTTACTTCGGTACAGAATTAAATTAGCTCCCTTTTAAAGAACTTGTCGTTTGGTGGTGACTGGAGCACAATCATACAAATAAATAACTGGACATTTTCCATCAATTTTACTAGTCTGCGAATGACGGATTTTGTTTTAATGAAGCATAGAAAAGAATGTATAAATTCAATTCATAAATTCAGTAGTGAAAATGTGCTGAGTTTAGAAAGCACAGTGTCAAATACACGAAAGGAAAAAACGATCGATGAGAAAAGAGGATAGATGTGTGTTTTAAAAGATATGTTGGATTAAATTCTCTTACTGCGTGATAATCAATTTAGAATGCTTACTTGGTCCATTTGTAAGTAACACCACTCACAGTAGTGCTACACTCCAGCTTGTAGTCGACATTAGTGTAATAGGTCTTTCCGGAGTTATCATTCTTTACTGTTGGGACTTTAACTGTGTCAATAAAGTAATAACATAAATATTTTTTTTTTTTAATTATTATACTGGTCATCGTTTTTATTTAACATAGTGAGTCTACATACAAGGAATCTCATAGAGTTGGACAAATATGATATACATTTTTATTAAAATAAAAGGGTTTAACCTGCTGGAACAATAAAGTAACCATATAAATATTTTAAAACTTTTTTTCATAAAATATTTATAAAGTCAACTTAGTATTTAAAACGTTAAGGGATTTTCTAAATATAAATAAACATTGGCTTACGTTCACAGGCATCTCCTGCTGTTGTAGGAGTCAAACCTGTGGCACATTCACACTTAGCTGAAGTGCACGTGGCCTTATACAATGGAGCTACACACACTGTGGGTGCTGTGTCTGTGGTACACGCAGGTTGTGCTTCGCCTGAAAATGTTCATTTAAACTTTGATTAAAAACCATAAATAATGAATGTTACGAATAAACGGTGTAAAAAATTTACCATTTCGCAGAATAATATTATTTATTTATTTTTAAACATAAACACAGTGTCCGGATGGGCAGCAACATCTTTTTAAAAACTTGTGATTAGACCTATTTTTTTCAAATAATTGTTCATCTTAAAATGTATGTGTAATTAAACGTGCCATAAATGTATGGTATTTCCCTCATTTTATTGGTAACCCTTAAGATGTTCGAGTTGTCTAAATTATCCTCTAATTTTCAAACCTTAAAAATATAAGAAGTTTGTTCACGTTGTCATCGTGAAAATCGCTTGGGTTGTCGGCGAACAATGATCAATGGTAGACTACAGCTACTCATCAAACAATGATCAATGGTAGACTACAGCTACTCATCAAACAATGATCAATGGTAGACTACAACTACTCATTAAACAATGATCAATGGTAGACTACAGCTACTCATCAAACAATGATCAATGGTAGACTACAGCTACTCATCAAACAATGATCAATGGTAGATTACAGCTACTCATCAAACAATGATCAATGGTAGACTACAGCTACTCATCAAACAATGATCAATGGTAGACTACAGCTACTCATCAAACAATGATCAATGGTAGACTACAGCTACTCATCAAACAATGATCAATGGTACAGCTACTCATCAAACAATGATCAATGGTACAGCTACTCATCAAACAATGATCAATGGTAGACTACAGCTACCCATTCTAGATGTTAACAAGCATGCTATTAATACCAATTTTTCAGTTTATCGTGGTTGCCATAATGCAGTGATATTTTTGTTTGTTTTGGGATAATAAATAGTAGAACACTTTCTTTACAACCTCTAAAAAGTGGTGCTGTATGTTGTTAGCATTAATTTTGTTTTGTTTTTGTCTTTGGACACGAAAGGTGTTGCTCTCGTACATAATTATGAAGATGTTACTTTTGTACATAGTTATGAAAATGCGGTGCACTGGTTGAATGACGTCCAAGATACTGTGTTTTACTAGAAAGAACCGGGATATGCTATTCATTCTTTTCTAATACACAACAGGACCAAAGTGGTTCTCTCTCCAAACATGGACGACCGCAGGTTTTTGCATCCGGCAGGGTTGGGTTCAGTAATCGGTCAAGGTTGAGAGACTTATTTGGGTCATAAGTAATGCGTGTTCATTTTTCTCAATTTTTGATAAGTTTATGACAATTTATGTCTTTTTAAAAATAACTTTTTGACATATTTGTGAGACAATGCTTTTCAGCATTTTACCGTGATAATTATAATCTAGTAAGATGACATCCGGCACACAAATGACACGTGATCATTCAAATATATTCTGTAACAACACGTTGAACTTCAGATGTCGTCTTATTAAATCATTACACATCTCACTGACTATTTTTTTATATTATGAAATCTGAACGTAATTTTGGTTTAACATTGGCCTCCAATCGCATAGTATTATATTTAACATTTGATTGAGAGCAACATGTTAAATATGTTGATTGTAACTTCTTTACTCGTTAGCAAGGTTTTGATTACAGTTACAATTTAGACACTGTTGCAACATAATCAACCTTTTTAAACGGGTTTCAAAATTGCCTGTTTAAACAACAAAAGTGAAATAGATCATGATGTGATGGATGACATGGGATTGTGCACACATCAACAACTCAAATAACAGTTCACATTTCAACAGCACTCACTAAGATAGCCGGCTAATTTAGTTATTTATTTGAGACATGTCATTGTATTTGAGAGTCACAAAGCAAGTAGAAAGATGCACACGTTACATCCTAGTTTAATATTTGAACTACAAGTTTGCACTTTAATAATGCAATTAAAAACAAATGACTACCAAAAAAACTTTACTTTAAAAAAGTAGTATTTATTTGCAATTCAACCATTTGATACTATATCAGATATGTTCAGTCTTTATATTAATTTACCTAATTTTCACAAAATATTAACATTCAAGAAAATAAAGTTAACAAATACTGCAAATAATCGCTCCGCTGAAATTGTAATACTTGTTTTAAAATACACTCAGAAATATGCAGGAAACGAAAGATAATTAGACAAAAAAACTTTGTGTTATAAGATCTCTATTTAGTCAATGGAGCTCTGTGCTGAGAACCGATAAAGTATACGACATAGCCCTATACTGAATTCTTTGAGAATTTATAACACAATTTATTAATTTTTTTATTTTTTTTTAAACTATGCATTGTTTCTTGTTTAAATGAAAAAGAAGGTCTCTCTCCTAAACGTCCCTTTAATTTCCTGTGTTTTTATTTCAAGCCTAAACATATCTTGTTCCATAATTTCCTTCACACGACTCAAACGCAGTCTCTCTATAACGTATCCTTTACAATAGCAGGCCCTTCTGTTTAAGTGTAACAGGAAGATCAAGCCGTGGGGGGATCGACTGTGTTAAGTACAACCTCAAAGTCCCCAACAAGAACCTCCAGCGGGTCTCAAAACCTCGCTGCTAGTCACAAACTGTAACTTCCCACGACGCCTCCCCAGTTGAAGCAGACAGAAGATAAAGAAGACGTTAACAACTTTTTAGTTTGAACAGTATGGTGTATCAAACTTAAGTTGTTGTTGTTACCACATACATTGCGCAACATGAGATTTAAACCAAAAAAAATATTGTTATCTATTATATTATTATTATTTATTATAAATTTATACGTGCCCTTTAGTAATATTGTAGTTATAAATTGATACATGAACATTAGTAATGTTGTAGTTATAAACTGAAATATTCCCGTTTATAATGAGGTAGTTTACTTTCTCCGGTTACAAGTTAAACGTTAATGAGAGATTTGTATATGAATATGTCTTTAATTTCTATTTCTATTTCGATAATTAACAATCTGCACGAGGAAGAACTCCTAAGAGGTATTTAATGTTCGTGAGTTTTAAGTTGTTACTGAAGCGGGTGTAAAAATGGTAAATAGTTTTTTTTAAGCACCCCTTCCAGTTACCACTAGTCAAAGAAGTCAGCAAACAGTTTAATGCGTATAAACATTTCATTGATCTCATTAGAGCGCACTGCGTACTTACAATGTTGGACAAGAAGCAGCAAGGCCACCAAAGAAATCTGTCTCAGCATGATGATTGTCTTGGTCTGTGGTCGGAGGTTAAAAGAATGCAGTATGATGTGTCTCGTCACCTCTAGACTTGGGCCACCATTTATACTTGCGGTCCTCTTTATTTCCGCTCTTCTAAGATCCTGTTTAAACGATGACAGTTATTTTATGACTCTGGTAACCAAGGGGACGACAACCAAATATTTGAGATATTGGCAATAAATGATATAATCCCCCTTGAAGTCAATTGGTGGTCGCAATGTTGATTAAAGAATTTTTTTTCAGGCGTGATCGATATATCCTCAATGGTTTCTTGCCAATATGTGTTTACTTAACCAAGGGACAAGTTCTTATTTTAATAAACGTGTATTTACTTTCCATATTTCTTTATGCAAATTTGTTATGTAATATGTCCGCTATTTTACTGCTTGCAATTGGTCTGAACTGAACATTTTTCGTTATTATACTTTCTAATAATATGGGGCATTGATTCAAGGAGAAAAACGATGACGTCACAGCTAAAGCAAAGATCAATGGAATGAGTTTTTATCTTTATTCTATTCGGAAGTAAGTTCAGTCAAGTTAAACAATTTTTGTTTTAAACTCAACATAAATATTTTATTTTGACACAAACTTTGATTGACCAAAAAATTAAAATAATTTGGAAATCAAAAGTTATTCACGTAAATATTTAGGCTTGTAATGAGCAATGTCAATTAACATTATGAGAGGATAATTTTTATGTTTATTTTTACTGCTGTAAAATATGTTATTACATTAATTAGACGATATGTGTGCCTAGTAAGACAGTAGGGTTAATCCTTAAGAAATAAAAAAAACCATATTTAACTTAAAGCATAATAAACGGTTTGACATAAACACATTTTTCGTGGCTTATTAATTCAATTAAACATCAGAGCAGTCAACGACCTTTCAAATATGTGTATCATTTGGAGCTGTAAATATTAGTTGCTATTTCATGCAAGTTGCTCACTCTTGTTTGTACTGCTGGATATTTACGGTTTCCTTCTACTCTAATATTTGAAAGAAAAAGAAAATGATATTTTAGTCTATGTAATTCATGCTAGTTTCACGTTATAATTCATAAAAAGAGATCATTTTTATTCATAAAATTTAAACTTATCTAGTAATGATTATCGTATAGTTTAAGCATACGCAAGTCAAACAACAATCGACAAAAAAGTGGATTTATTCAAAATAGTAATAGGTGTAGACAATAAAACGTCTGACAAATCTAAAGTATAACAAGTTTGATGAGACGGTAGGCGGTCGTATTGTGACACAGTTTGGTGACGCACATGGTGGAGATGGTGGAACTCAGCATTCCCGCAGCACCAGCTGAACACAGGATAAGACAACACAAAGAGATGACATGGTAAACTATAGGGATTTTATCGACAAAACAGTCAAGTTACGCACTTTCCTAGATTTTGAGAGTCCTAATTGGAGCAGCTACTTGGCGTTGTATCTGAACACAGCGTTACAGTGATACTTAGATAAATACATGCATACCCAGGTAAGATTGTGTTTAGAAGATGAAATGCATAAATCAAAGACGCTAGCTTCCATATGACAAGGGGCAAACTAATGGTAAAGGTTAATGAAAAGAGGAAGGCCAACAGTTGACAACTGATAACGCTATTCTACTGAAACTAACATCTTGCACTCTTAACAGTGTCAAACAATAGCAGAATGGGCCGAATTTAAGTCAGAAAAACTTGGTTTGGAAGTTGACGAGTCCAAAAAAAGACTTTGAACTGAAAGATCTTAAGACATAATACGGTGAACGTAAATATGGATGAGAGCTTTAGTACTGTTTAAGCCCAGAGTCTAACTAACTCCATTTGAATAATAGCTAGTGCTTTCCATTTCCAAACTGTTCACTCCCTATGAGGAATTAATCTAATGTGATACCTTACTTTGAAATAAAAATGGGTCATAAAACATTTGAAGTTATCAGATAATTCTGACGTAATCATTGATTAATCAAAATCCGATGCTTTAAAATTTATAACTGCAGACTATCTTTCAATTCTTTCACTAATCTCTGAATTTTAGGTCACGGTCTATTTGTACGCGGCTTCCTGCATAAGGAGCTTTTCAAAACTGTACCCTTTAAAAAAAAAGTCACAGACCTACCTATTAAGAGTTAAGGCTTGCTGATCTTAAAGTTTAATCAATTGAAAACAATATGATGAATGGTGTTCATTTTAAGTGATTGATAACAAGAAAAACACCTGTGAAGTTTAATATAAACACTATTTATTTATATTATTATTTTCAAATTTCAATCAAAATACTTTTGTTTTTTATTAAGACCTTGTGTAACTAATCGACTTGAGTTTACATGAGTTATTGAAATAATCCTGATTCATATGATTGCACAATTCAGAATTTCATTTTCTTCTACGATTAATATTCTGAAAACAAATATTTACAATCAAAGAGATGCAATTTTCTATTTGTTTGGATCAATAAGGATATTTAGTTTACTTTTATACCAACAAAACTATAGTCTACTTATGATTATGTACGGTCTATACAGGAAGTTTTGTGGGAGGCAATGTGGGACAGAGTGGAGGAGGAAGTGGGGTGACACCAAGCCTTGTGACGCGACATGTTTGAACTAGTCCTGGAGTCTGTAAATGTTTTACCAAAAATAAAAAATTAAGAATATCACATTCTTTTGTAAATTAATTAAGTTAAATCTTTTTAATCAAAAATCTTCAGCCATACTATTTTTATGTGTTTTTTTTTAATCGCAAACAAAATATTGTCATTATTTTTTTTAGAAATTCCAAAAACAACATAAATATATCTTAGGATTTTCAATCAAAATCTATAAAAACTGACCGGAAGTGACCCTTTGTTGCAACCTTCATTGGTGAAGATGACCTGGGCATTTGAGTATAGTGCCACCGAGCACTTTAGCGTAGCAAATCACTTAAATGGACAGAAATGAAATGGACAAAACTGAAATGGACAGAACTGAAATGGGCAGAACTGAAATGAACAGAACTGAAATTGACAGAACTGAAATGGATTGAACTGAAATGGACTGAACTGAAATGGACTGTACTGAAATAGACATAACTGAAATTGAGAGCAATGAAATGGACAGAACTGAAATTTACAGCAATGAAATGTGCAGCACTAAAAAAAAATTAACACTAGCCATTTGTTTCCAACGAGAACACAGATTTTATGTTATTATTTTGCATAAGAAGATTAGAGTGGAATTATTTGACAACAAATTAATATGAGATTTATTGTGATAATGGAATAGAGCACATTAGGTATCATTTTCTTCTTTATATATTATTATGAGATATATAAAATGGTATTTTAATACAATTAAAAATGTATTGGATTCGAAATCGAACCCTGTCTGTAGACGATATTGATAAGGGTATTATATTATTATTATTATTATTATTATTATTATTAAAGGGGTCTTTTATAGCTTGGTACCCAAGCCTAGGGCTAGGCTCACTTATATAGCACTGTACCCCAGCCTACGACTTGGCTCACTGTGCTTCACATAAAATTAGCAAAAAGAAAAAAAAAAAAAAAAAAAAAAAAAAAAAAAAAAAAAAAAAAAAAAAAAAAAAAAAAAAAAAACAAAAAAAAA